TGAAGTACATGTGTCAAAGAGTTACTGCGCTAGAGGAAATATAGTTGTTATAATTATCAGATTGTGCAAGGAAGAGGGCATGCGAATGGTGATTATGCTTAGGCAAAGTCTCTGCTCCTCACCTCTATCCTTCTAATGTCTGAAACGTCTCATCTCCTTCTGTTTATCCTTTTCTTGTTCCATTAATTCCCAGCACGAGTTGCTATAATTGGGGACATGCTTGCACTTGGTCCACCTAAATCCACGTTCAATGAGCTGATGTTACAAATTTGCTGTGATGCCCATTTTAATGTAGTTGTACTTGTTGGAACTAGGTTTTTCACTGCAGCTGGGAATATAAACTATGCCGAGGAGATAAAACTGGTATACACCAATGATGTTTACTGTATGACTTTTGAGATTATCAAATTTCTACATAATAGTGATGTCTTCTTTGTCAAAGGTTGTAGTCAACAGCAATTGGGAGTAACTTTGCCTCTTGTAAACTGTTGTTCTCCTAAAGAACTATGCTGTGGACTAATGAGAGGGAATAAGTCAACTGAAACATATCTATTAAGTGTGAAATTTTGCAAAATGAGTGTAATACATGTATCTATTCTTGGGAGTGGTCATATGTCATATGTACACGAGGTTGCTCTCCTTTTATCAGGATATATAGGTGCCATGATCCTATGTGGACAAAGAGTTCTTTTACTGCACCCCAAGATCATCCTTCTTCTTAAAGCCATCAGTGCTCTTGATGCCGGTTGGGCGAGAATTATCCATGAAGCTCAAGGCAAGTGTGACCCTCTCCATGCAAGGCTCCTCACTTGCTGCCTTATGGTTTGGAGAGAATTATCCATGATTTGTGGTGATGTTATGCCAAAGGTTGTCAATACAACAGTGACAACCGTCTCATGTCACATTGCCAAAGTTGTGATATATCGGCTCTTCTTATTCTATTATCCAAAACACCTTTATCTCGAGGCAATTGGCGGAGTGCGTGCTACTAACACTATTCTTAACCCGAACCTTGAGGACAAGGTTCTTATTGAGGACGGAGGTATTGTTGTGAATATGGCCGAACAAAATGAGGCACTTGGGCCTGAGAATGGTTTTAGCTGGGGTCAAATGATTAAACAGCCCAAAACAAGGCTATTGGACTACCATTGGGACCCAGGTTGAAGTACACGTGTCGAAGAGTTACTGCGCTAGAGGAAATATAGTTGTTATAATTATCAGATTGTGCAAGGAAGAGGGCATGTGAATGGTGATTATGCTTACGCAAAGTCTGTGCTCCTCATCTCTATCCTTCTAATGTCTAAAACTTCTCATCTCCTTCTGTTTATCCTTTTCTTGTTCCATTAATTCCTAGTTAATTGTAGTTGTTCATTCTAATAATATTTCCTATTTGAGTGTAATTCCGTCCAGCCATTATAATATACAAGTCTCTGTTTGTGTTGAGAATTGGTTTGTTACACATTCTGAGAAATAGGGAATTCAGCACAGTCAATCAACTATATCTCATTTATAAACTACTTGAGGTCGGCTATATGAGTCTTCTACATCTATTCCACTCCATTCGCGACACTGATAAACAACTCCACTTCAAAGGAAAATTCCCTAATAGTAACTTTTATTGCAATTTAATTTGCACCATCCCCTGGGAAGAATAAATAAATACCTTAGTAGTGAAAGTCTTAAGCACATCACTGGCATTCGAAAGCTTGGTTTCGTCTCTGTGGCGAGCTGCTCTCGTAATAAAACGATTAATTCTTCCGAATCCTGAATTTCCAAACGACAAAAAAAAAACTTGACAGTTCAGGTGGAAATGATAACGCAAAAATTGACAACTATAAAATGTTTACAACATCTATGAATAGAGATGAATTGATACCTTCGAGCCCTATCCCGATCTTCTTTCCCAAACCTGTGTAAAAAAAATCATAAGATTTAGCTCATTTCTACTCAATCAATAAGCGTTAATCCCAGACTAATTGAGATCTATATTGTTCATTTCGCTCTCGGACGCATTTTTGTTGGACATCAGTAAAATACAAATCGAGATAGCATAAAGGACCTACTCATTATTCTACGAGACAGAGAGAGAGATAACGCTGCGCAGATGAATAGNGCGTGTGGCTCAGAGCATCTTGAGAATTAGAAAAATCAGGAATTCGGGTTTTCTACTCAGTGGAGGAGAGATTGATAGGAATGGTCCCACAACGGGATAGTGTTGGCGAAATATCGTCATAATTGGTATCGTTTAAGAAAAAATCCCTCGAATCTGCGCACACAGTTATTATTTTTCAGAAAATTTTCTACCGCATTAATAGAGTTTAGCATGATATATATATATATTCAATTATTTATTAAACTCTATTGAATTGGCGTAACTTTGTATTATCTACAATCGACTTATTTGTTAAATTGTTCATCAAAGTCTACGCGATTGACATAATTTTGTGTTGGTTCAATTGTTCATCAACTCTACGAAATTAACGTCACTTTGTGTTATCTACATTTCATCTATTTATTAAACTATTCATAACTCTACCCAATTTACAGTACTTGTTCGATTGTTCATCAAAATCTACTAGATTGACATGACTTTATGTTATCTGCAAGCGATCAATTTGTCAAAATTATTCATCAAAATCTACCAAATAGGCATAATTTATTTGTGTTGTTCATAAAGTATTTTTTTCAATTGTAATTTGGTACAAAAAGTATGACAAGATGGTAAAACTTTTAGATATAAATATTATATTACAATATAGTATTTGGTATAAAATCTTACTATGTTGGTAGATCTTAGGGCAAGCGAACACAAGGAGAAAGGATGTGGGACCATTTATTAAAGGGAAAAGGCCCAAAAATGATCTTGTGGTATTCGAAATAGATCAATTATAACCCCGTTTAAATTTGAGTCCAAAAATGACCCTGCCGTTATAAAATGGGTCTAATAATGCCCTTGTGTTATTCAAAATGGATCAATTATAATCCTCGTTTAAATTTGAGCTCACTAATGACCCTGCCGTTAAAAAATAGGTATAATACTGCTATTTTCCCCAGTTAGTAATGATTAGGGGTGTAAATGAATATTTAAAAACTGACTAAACCGACATAATCGTACCGTGCCAAACCGATTTTTAGGTTTTTTTTTTAAATAAAACCGTATATTTTTATATAAATCTATAGTCGTACCGATAATTAGGGTAGATTTTTTATTTTATAAAAATAAACCGAAAAAATATTGAACCGTACCGAATAAATTTACATGTGAAACATATATTTATATATTAAGTTTAAAAATAATAATGTATTAAAATTTGTACATTATTTATATTAATACATTATTATTTACAAACATAAATATTAGACTCATTCTTTAACGGCATGGTCATTAGTGGGCTCAAATTTTAAACTTATTCGACCCATTCTTTAAAAATATTAGACCCATTATCATTTTTAAACTTAATATATAAATAGCGAACCGTACCGAATAAATTTACATGTGAAACATGTATTTATACTGGGTCTAATAATAGGTTTGATATATTTACATGTGAAGCATATATCCACATGTAAATTAATTTGATACGGTTCGAATATATTTACATGTGAAACATATATTCACATGTAAATTTATTCGGTACGGTTCAATATTTTTTCGATTTATTTTTATAAAATAAAAAGCTACCCTAATTATCGGTACAGTTATAGATTTATATAAAAACATACGGTTTTATTTTTAAAAACCTAAAAATCGGTTCGGCACGGTACGATTATGTCGGTTTAGTCGATTTTTAAATATCCATTTACACCCCTAATCATTATTAACTGAGTGAAATAGCAGTATTAGACCCATTCTTTAACGGCAGGATCATTAGTGGGCTCAAATTTAAACGAGGATTATAATTGATCCATTTCGAATAACACAAGGGCATTATTAGACCCATTCTATAACAGTAGGGTTATTTTTTGACTCAAATTTAAATGGGGGTTATAATTGATCCATTTCTAATACCACAAGATCATTTTTGGGCCTTTTTCCTTTATTAAATACGATCAATGCAGAGGACATTCCGCTAAGACCCACCCATGCAGTGCCACGCGACACAAAATTTTGTAAGGGAAGGGGAAAGATATTTTGCCTTACAAAGTTAGAACTTGTATAAATTTTCTTATAATATTTATATAGCACGAAGAAAGAAAGAACTTTTAAAATTTATAAATATATATGTATTTATAAATAAAAAAGAATCAGCTGGTACACAAAGCATCCTATATTCACCCAGTACCAAAGTAAAAGCCGCATTCCTAGAAATATAATGTGTATTTATAAATGATTTCATTAAAATTAAATAAAACACTTATAAATTTAATTATTTTAAATATAAAAGTATTTTATTCTTTTTCGAACATACTTAAAAAAAAGTTGGCATCACATAAATTGAAAAAAAGGAGGCGGAGTCTGGTTAATCATTAAAGTTTTTATGAAAGCCAAACATTAGAATTTTCTCTATTTTTTGCTTCTTTTTCTTGAAATAATGGAGTATTAGCTTGTAAATAAACTATGCAGTAATGATCGGTCGAAATTAATCCACCTCATCAGGAAGCATGAAGCGTTAGAACTACTAACAAAACGACGTGGCATCTTCACAGACAATGCTTCCCTGCTCTATGTTAACTTACGCTTGTTGCGTACTGGCCCTCACATCCTCATGAAAAATGACCAAATGCTCGCCATTTCGCCAATACATAGCACCCGGCTCACGTTAGTTAACACCCCTCCTTGTAAAAGTACCAGAACCCATTTATGTCGGGAAACACGTTAACCGTTTAAATAAAGATCCCCTATTTGTGTCCATTAAACACTACCTAGAACATAAAGTTAAATTAATGTTTCGATATATGTAATATAAATATAAGTTCAATTCGAGACAGCAAATGTACGCTCAATAATAATTTAAATGCTGAATTTGTCTCTGTTAATTTCAAGCAACTTTATCTCAACCATGGCTTCGGGGTCGAACTCTTTGATTTGGTTCAGGAAGGGGTTGAGACTCCATGATAACCCAGCTCTGGAGTACGCAGCTAAAGGGTCGAAGTTTCTATACCCGGTTTTCGTGATTGATCCACACTACATGGAGCCCGACCCGACTGCCTTCTCTCCCGGTTCTTCCAGAGCCGGGTTGAACCGGATCCAGTTCCTGCTTGAAAGCCTAGTTGACCTTGACTTGAGTCTCAAGAAGCTTGGTTCACGCTTATTGGTGCTCAAGGGTGAGCCTAGTGAGGTCTTGATTCGCTGCTTAAAGGAGGTATCAATCAATTCCCTAGCTCCTACTTCTACGGGTTTTTAACTCTGTTTAAGGAACCTATCATGAAATAATTATTGTTTGCTAAGTGTCGATCGAGCAAGTTAACTGTTTTGAGTCACCTATGTAAAAGTGAATAGTTAAATTAGTTACCAACACATGGAAAATAAGTTATTTAAGCGAAGTGAAAAGGAAAAGTGGTTTCTTTGACTTTTTGAGTTACCAAAGTGTGTTCTTGCCATGTGATTCTGGGTCTATATTTGATAAAAGTGTGTTGTCAGTGGTTTGCATGTTGATTGCTAAGCGTTGGAGTAGTCATTTATGGATCGAAATTTAAGAGATGTTTATCAGTTGAAGTTTTACATCATAAGTTGGACATGACAGTTTAGATCAGCTTATAATTTTATATCTTTTACTCTTCTAGTTATACAGTTGTTCCTTTTAAGCACTCTGATCCATTCGGCTATGGCTAATTTAATAGATCTACTTATAATCCATTGTTTAGTTATACAATTGATTGATATTACTTAAGAAAGTTCAGTTATGGGTATGCTTTGATGTCTTGGAGAACCATGAAACGTTGAAACTAGAGTCAAACTGTTGATTGAATCCTCGCTATATGCTACGAAAGACATTGGTTCCTTTCAGGGGGTTTGTTTCCTCTTTCAAATTGCATTGTACCAATGTGACTTTGTAAGCATTTTTTTCTTCGTTTGAGCGCCAGTACTTTTACTAGCCATTGATTTGTATAACCTTTGCATAACTTTCAGTGGAGCATAGGGAAGCTTTGCTTTGAGTACAACACAGAGCCCTATTATCAAGCTTTAGATGTAAAGGTCAAGGTAAAATCTCTTTCCAATTGAGGAAAGGTTTGATTTCCTATAGACGAGCTTAAGTCAGATCTCAGATGGTGTTTTTTGATTGGTTAGATAAGTTTTAAATTAAGAAGCTTTTTTGGTTCACATAATGAATGATTTGGTTCTTGGCTAAAGAACAATTACTTTTGTTCCGCAGAACCACGCTTCTGTAGCTGGTGTAGAAATTTTCTCTCCTGTGAGTCACACCCTCTACAATCCTGCTGATATAATAAATAAGGTATGTCCACAACATATGAGTTAAAAACTAGCTTCGGAAATCTCAGAGGACCGCTTTACTTATTTTCCGGGAGAAGATGCTTACGGCGAAAAGGGTGGTCTTCTGTTTTCTTGTTGAAGAAAGCAATTAGTGTGGAATGACATTAGGCCTAGATTTATATATTGATCAATTTTATTTGATTGTCTACAAAGAATGGGGGATCCCCACCTCTGACTTATCAG